ATTATTCAATTTTTACCATAGTAGGGCCAATATATTATGTAATGAAAGCGCATCGATTCTGTTTAATCCACAACGTTTCCAAATAACACCAAATCCAATTATTCAACCACAACAAATTAATTTTTAAGGCGAAAAATCATTCATTTAAACAAGACCCTATTTATTAAATGATATAACTATAGTTCAAGGGTTTTTACCTATTCAGCCATCCATTTAAATCTAAATTTTGCACCGAATTTCAATCTATTTAATCAAAGTGGAGTCCCAAAACAGGATAAAGCAGAACCCAGGGGTACTTAATCTACCAGAATTAATCAACTACACTGAAATTTCGTTTGCAAAGAACTATACAATCAATTAATTATCCCTGAAAGCAATATTCGATAATTTCATTCGGTTACCATTGAATGAAATAAAATTAATTATTAAATTAAATTCAAGAATGATTATGATTATTTTCAAATATACGTAGTTATACATTTGGTATACGAAATACTTGGCAGAACCGAAGTTCCTATTAGCTTTGCAAAACTAAATATTGCATCGATTAATAAGTATTTCAACTTAATTGTTTGAAGAAATCTAAAATTCTAATAAAAAGAGATCAATTACCTCTTAAAGCATTTCTCGAAAACTTATTAAGTCCAACTTCAAGAAAGAGATTTTTTAAATTCAAGGAGAGTGTAAAAACAATATAAAAAGTATATTGATATGTCGATCCCATCTATTTCTATAAATAAATTACGGCAATTCTTCAAGAAAGATAATGAAATAAAAAACAGAATTACACAAGCACGAACAACCGTTGCTTGCCTCAATGGAATCTTGTGGACTCAAGAAATAGGGAAATAACAATACGAACTATAAAAATGCACGATATTTGACACATTTCGATTTCTCGTGCTGGAATTTAAGAAACTAAGTACCCGTGGGTGTTTATTCCGACTAACTGAATATCCGTGGTGCTTTGGTGAATTGCTACTACATCGGGCAATTTCGTGAGTGCTAGCTGGAAGGACCAAATCGCCATCCGAGAAGCGAAATCTTATAGTAAGATATAGACGACATCGTTCTGGTAGTAATATAAGTCAAGACATTTTTTCGATTTTTAATCCAGTTCAGAAACTGTTTTCAACCAAATTCAAGACGATATTAATAAAATATCCAAACAAATTTCGAGTATTATCAGTAGAAATAAAGACTATGAAGGTACTAGTTACTTAAACAGTATCCCGGAAAGTAATGCAATGACCCTTTTTAAGCCGGAGTACTCAAGGTGTGCTCTTGAACTTGACGAAAATTTAAATCGTTATTTGACAATCTGTGAAACTTTAATCACTAACTATTATAGCTCTAGCAATCCGAATGATTTTTAAAATATTTTTTCTGTTGGATAGTTTATTACGAAAATTAACCCAAAATGCAAAAATTATCATAAATTGTCAGAATGTAAGTACATGGGATGAATTGAAAGCAACGTTAAGGAGGAACTTGTAATTGAACTGAGGAGGCTTTGGCTTTTACTTGATGAAAGTCCATTTATCAAAATAAATAAGAACTAAAAGTTCAGATTTTCACGAAATTATATATGTTGACATGAGAATTGTTTCGACAACACCGTGTCTTTATCAAATGAACAATTGAAACAATTGTCATGTCAAAATATATAATTTCGTGAAAATCTGAACTTTTAGTTCTTATTTATTTTGAGGAACTTGTAATGTTAAAACAACAAGAACATGAACAAGCGAGTCAATTTTACGATATATATACATATATTAAATTTGTTGTGTTCTCATATTGAAAAAATCCTCATATAACAAAATAGCACTACAACTTCTTTTGGGACTGAAAGAACCTTTGGGGACAACTATTCGATATATGCGTATCAAGACCTTGGCGGAAGCTTAACATTTCGTAACCGCAGAATATAACGTCAATTATTTTCAGAATAGGCTAAAACTTCCTCTATATCAACCAACCCCAAATTTGAAATTAGCCTGCCATAATTTTAATTTTCAACCACCTTTTCAAAACTCTCAAGTTAGACCCAATTTATTTCCATTTAATAAACATATTCCATCACAACTAATAAATATGACCGAACTTGAATATCATACCGCCAAGACTCCCTAGCAATTCTACTGTATTTGGTAGACCTAACCAAATTAACCAGGTTGGTAAATGTATTTTTTAGACATAACCAGAATAAACCATAACCCCGCCTCAACCAAACTATGACCCTACAGGACGAGTATGATTATTATTATTCATCATCCGAAAACACTTTCAAAAATCAAGTCAAAAATAATCAAGCAAACCCCACTTACCAAAGTGAATCACCGGTTTCCTAAAATTCAAATAATAATCCCTTAAACACCCCATAAATTTTGAAATAAAGCCTCCAGATCAACGGATCAAAATCACACTTAGTAATATTTTTAAACATGGGCAATTCTAGTGAACGATCCAGAACGTTCCAGAACATAACATAAAACTACTAATAGACTCTGGATCAACTAAATATTTGCTAAATACAAATACTCATAGTGCTTTATTCGCAGCGGCCCAAATTTTTAACTTGCCAAAAAATCAAAATTTGAAAATTCTTTTTCAATTTCACAAAGTCTTTTAGGCATAGTTGGTCTCGATAATACAAAATTACTTCACTTCACTTCAACTGCATTTTTATAAAACTCAAAATAAATTAAATTGCGTAACAGTGGCACCTAGAACTGAGCAAGTATTTAAAATTAAAACGTCTATAAATGATTGTGAAATAATTATTCCTCATCAACGGTTTCAATATTGTGAAATACCTGAATATCTTAGAATCGTAAAAAATGATCATGCTATTTTACTGAATAATTCTAAAAAGATAAAAACACACATTCAATGTAAGTGACCATACAAAAAAATACTTTCATTGACAACTAGAGAAAAAATCAAAGAAAAGTCCTAGAAGACGACATAGATTTACCTCACGTAGAGAACGAACTCGACGAACATATCGCAATACATTCAAATTGCGAAAAGGATCCTATAGTCGGGACCCCTATATTAGAAATACCTATCAAATAAATAATTATTAATAGATAGATAGATAGATAGAGAAGAAGTCCCTGAAATAAGACACCACGAAGGAAAAAGTAACCACCAAAGTATCGACGAAACCGAACAACGAATTAAATCCAAATATTATAGGCCCTATCAAAAAAGTTCAATTCAAACATTTATAATCCAATGTAAAATGTGTATTAGAACAAAGTACGAGAGAAATCCGATCATCTCGATATTTATACGTTGGAAAAAACAAAATTCCTAACAATAATTGATATGTTTTCTAAATATGCCCAAGCTTATGCTTGAAAATCGTTAGCTGCCACACAAATAGCAGATAACCTTTTAACATTCTTTTCTCACCACGGCATACCAAACAAATCATAGTAGACAACGGAACATAAATTAAAAATTCAATTGTCACCGAGCTTTTGCATTTACATAAAGTAAAAGTGCCCAATCAACGTCAATCTAACGAAGTAATCGAAATATTGCACTCAACTTTAGCAGAACATATTAAATTGGTAAAAGCTCAAGGTTTCGGAAAGTCCACTATCTCACAAAAAATTACGTATGCTAATCTCGCATTACATAATAATATATAGTAATAATTACATAATATTATTACGTAATAATACATCTGGACAATATAAAAGGACCGCTCATAATCACTTATAGTTTTGATTAAGTTATTTTTTTTACCTCCGTATAAGTAGAATAATAATATGATGTTTGGTACATTACTGTTACGTTCGTATTACACTTTAGCTTTCTTGCCAGCTACTTTATAAAAATTGGAGCTGCAAAAATTCCTGATTATACATACACGTTTATTCATTTTTACTACCTTAATCCGATTGTTAGAGAGAAACTAACCAAAACTACATCTAATATCTCAAAATGTTACTTAACTTTTAAGTACTCATAGCGAATACTCGCATGAAGCTTTATCGTTTAAACTCGTTATTATTTTTTTTTAATTAATTTTTTTTTTAACAGCTCATCCCCCATCCACAAAGAATTAAAATAGGTTTAATAAATATGTTAGGTCCTGCCTTTAAACCTGTTAGCGGTAATTTATATGCTTTTGATAGTGTAAAATACTATAGGGTAATAAAACAGCTATTAACTAACCAAAATAACTTAGCAGAATATATTTTGAACCAAAATTCAATTTCCCTAAGAGTTATTCATAAGCTTAATAACACATTTTTCGGTCCTCCCCAAGGAGAAAATTGTTAATATTAACTGCCTAAATCAAATAGGAGAATCAAAATGTATTGAAACCTTCGCGTTTGAAGTTCCATTTGGATGCCAGTTGACAGTTGACCAACAACACATCGACCGAGCCGAAAGTCATATAAACATACTGTTACATTAAATCTAAGTATTCACTTAGAAAAACTTCAAATCGACGATGTTCAAGAACAAGCGAAATACTCCACTCCACTCCATGTTCACAATTATGATCGATTTTTTGCTGATGATTTCCTGTTCCTGGCTGATCTACAGAAAAAGTCGTCCAATGTTAAAGAGAAAGAAGACCAGCTACCAGAGTTATCATCACGAACATCCGCCTGTACACCTACCCTAATGGTATAATTGTCTATAAGAGTGGAGGAGTTATGTCATCACCTAAGTCTACGAATGCTGATGCTGCAACTACGCGCCGTCTTTAATATTATTGTCTTTTCATTGTAAACTAGTTAGTAATATATTGGTTGACTATAAAGCACAAACCATGTTCATCATTTAATAAAAAATATTTTGAAAATTTCTCATGCGTAACAATAAAACTTATCAAAGTATTTGTACGCGAGTAATTATAAACCAGAGTTCTTGTCAACGATTGTCGAATATAAGTTTTTTAAAAACAAAAATTCGTTTTCCACGACAATGACTGTATAAACACCAGAGAATAATGTTTTTTTTTCTCTTACCAGGCAAAATCGATATCGTTTTCAAGGCACGCAAAACTCTGAAGGTCCTGAGACCGGCTAAGTTGGCTCCTTCGACCCCTATCGTTGCGTAGCCGCTGGTGATGACGACGAAGTCAAGCCAGTTCCATGGATTCCGCAGATATGTATACTTATTTAATATGAAACCTTTCGCGATGGTTTTTATTATCATCTCCAACGTATATATGCCTAAAAAAATATACCTGAAACAAAAGAAGACAATGATTAAATCACCTGGACAAAAAGTGATTTAAATGCTTAAATGATTACGTTAAACTAACGAGATTGTTGAGATTGTAAAAATTTTAGAAAATTAATTTCTAAGGGAAATTTGGTCTGTTGTATTTGTGGTCAATAACCATTTCCTATTTTTCAAGGAATACAACATACAGAACTGGGATTGGGATTTGCGGCAGTTTTATAGAACACCCTGTATAATTTTTTATCCAGCGTAACGTTTGCAGGTATAAATAATATCTATCGCTTTTACTGACTGAAAGCTATTGTTATTTATTTGGGATCGATTCCCATCATTGATTGTGCTTGTAGTGTATTGATATTTTAAAAATAATAAAATACGGGGTTATTAAAAACTAACACTAAAAATTTAAATTAAAAAAGCGTTAAAAATAATTTGGTTCAAATGGATGGTACAAGATTGACTAGATGAAAAAGTTGCAGATTTGGACATATCAATAAAGATTTTTCTATTGTAAAAATACTGTACGCAACTTAATTAGCCGGGAAGATTACGGCGCAATACAACAGCAAAAAAAAAACTCTCCAGGACTAGAGAAGTGACACATACTATTCGCCATAGTGTTAACCAGATAAAATAATAACCTCAACGGAAATATTCAAGATTATTTTGAATTAAACTTTTAAAAAATTATATACATATTTTTAATTTCACTGGTGTGTCTACCAAACGAAACTAATTACAGTGAAAACTATATACTATACACAATATGCAACACCACAGTAGCTTACCATTTTTTGGTCCCTATTACCTGGTAGCTGCGGTCAAACAGGTAAGTTGATGTTAATAATTGCACTCTTTTGTCAGCCAATCTGGACTAGTCTTAAAATAGAAGTAATTTAATCATAAATATTGTAGTCTATGGTTCCCTCAAAAAAATTGGTCAAGATGCTAGTTGTAAGACATTTAAATTAAAGAGCGAATGTCCAAGACATAGAGAGACGGCAATGCTGCAGCTGCGCGCCACATAGAGGCCATCACCTGTGAGAGAGTGCTCATTTTCCCCAAGCTACTACAGAAAAGTTTTTTGAATATGTACATTCTGTTTCTAAACACGACAAAAGTGTGCAATTTTTAACATCAACTTACCTGTTTGACCACAGCTACCAGGAAATAGGGACCAAAAAAAGGTAAGCTACTGTGGTGTGGCATATTGTGTATAGTAATACTTTTCACTCATTTGGTAGACACACAAGTGAAATTTTAAAAAATTATATACATTTTTTCAATTTTATTTAAAAATAATCTTAACATTTCCGTTGAGGTTTCCATATCAAGTTAAGTTCGGAAAGGTATTCTGAAGGTCGATCTGGGTTCGGATCCTACACTATGTCGTCTAACAAATTTTTATACATCGAAAGCCTTCTTTAAGCTGGGGATAATTCTAGCTTCCTTCCAGACATCTGAGAAAGTGTTTGTTGCTAGGGCTAAAGTAAAAAACACAGGTTGAACTAAAGTATGCGTGCAATCTCGCACAATAAAACAAGGAACTTTATCGGGACCACACTTTACTTTGTTCTTAACTCGTGCTAATGTTCATGATACAACATCATCAGTTAAATGATCAATAGTAATAAATATATTAAAAAATGCATTCATTAAAATGTAAAATATTCTTTAATCGCATAATTTTGAAAATGTCCTATTTTTTTCATAAAGGAAAAAAAACATTGGACACTTTTTAAAAACTTATAGCTTTTTGTGTACATTATAAAATATAGCTGGGTGTCTTATGGTAGTAGGAATAAAACCTAAGGTAATTTAATGAAATATAATAATAAAACCTTAAGTTGTGAAAAATTTCTAATCTTTCAATGGAAATGCAAACATAAAGTATATAAAGCAATATTTTTACTTTAAGTGAATCTAAACAACCATATTCTTTCAATTTTTTGATATTTTTTTATAGGTTCCCATGGGTGTAATTCCATAAACGGGCGTGTGTTGCTACCTCGGTTTTCCTTAAATAATAAAAGCTAACTCGTTCGCAGAATAAAAGAACGGCTGGATAGAGATTTGATTTATATAAATGGTTTTAAATTTAGAGAGATTAAATTGATGGTCAACACTGATTTTGTGTTAAAAATAGTTCGTTTCAACAGGAGTTCTTCTAGTACGCGGAAAAAAGTTATTACTTAAACAGCCGTATCATAGAAACTGGTTTAGAAAATCAGGTTATGGTCATATTAATTTTTCTTGCAAAAGTTAGATATTTAAGTATTTTGTATATATTTGTGTTCTAAAGCGGCATCCAATCGTTGATTAATTTGCTTGGTAATTTATTATATGGTATCAACTATTACATTGGACGATATACTAGGCGCTATAATCTAGGATCAATTATATATTCTCCTGATTGCTTATCGCGGCAGTATTTCTGTATACAGAAGCATCCATCTACCAAGTTATCGGGGCAAATATGTGGGGGCCCACATCTCTCTGGGGTCACTGCAAGGACATTGTTTTTGACCCAACGCTGAAATTATATATTAACACCTCTGCAAATAGCCAAATGAATAATTACCTGCGTAAACAAACAACGACACGAGGACAATTTGTGTCAATAGTTTGGACATCGTTTCTCGATGGATGCTTCATACACTGGATACACGTATTGATATTGTATATATTAGCTCGAAATAACTACACTTATGAGTATTTTAACAAATTTGGGCTTAGCTTTGATGTATTGATGAACAAACGTTCTTACGCATTTTTGAGAATAGAAAATTGATCTAAACACTGAGAATACGGTATGGGTAACATAGGCAATGCATTTTAAATGGGAGAAAGTCGGTTCAGCCCAAAAGATACCTGGAATGTGTATCATGCAGATAGATAATATCATTTAAAACACATATCAATAAACATATTAAATAGAAATTAGTATAGTTAGGTTTTATGTAGTCTTGAATAAGAATTCGTTGACACTTTATTCTTTAAAAAAATTCTAAAAGCCCCTCTTGATATTTGATTGTCCCAGTTTACCATGACTTTAGGTTGATGTAAAAAGAAACATAAGGTTTTAGTCCGTTTTTGAGAGATCTATACAACAACAAGAATTGATCAAAACCCAACCGTAATTAAAGATTTAACAACGATGTACATTCCCTGTTAAATTGGGGATACCTCAATTGTTGCTTAAGTCTATTTAACCAACGAGGAGGATATCACCAAAGCTGTGGAAGCTGATCAGACAGTTTTAATTATTTATTTTTTTTTTATTTAATACCAGACAGAAGAACAAAGTGAAAATCAAAATAGTATATTATGTGGGCACACAATACCATCCAAGAAAGAAAAAATTTCCGAACCTATTATTAATTCCATCGAAAAAGAGGAATTCGTTATTATTGTCAGTTTTGACACCGTTGTTTCTTATTTCTATTAAACTGACGTGGCCAATTAATTTTTTGTTCCGCTATGCTATACCTGAAACTGCATCCAGCGGCTAAGGGAAAACAATTCACTTTTCTTAGTTCTACCCACTCAGTAAACTAATTTACTCTAAGAATTATATTAGCATTGTTTGTTAACTAATGTTTTTTTGTCACGCGAGTTTTTGGCACTTTAGCGTAAGAAAAATAATCGCCATATTTTTAGTTGTATACTATGAAATAAAAGTTCGTACATATTACTTTTTTCAGAGTTTCAAGACTGTCCATTCCAAAAGCTCCGACTCGAACTAATTAATCTTTTTACTGATTTAAATTTAATAACCAGTTGGTAAGCTCGAACAAATTTAGAAATACATCAATAGAAGAAAGGCAAAATACTCTTAAAGAAGCGCATTTTAGAAAAAATATTCTCTAACGTTCTATGAGAGCCAAAAATTTAGAAAAGAACTTGTATTTTTGCTGTATCATCCAGGAAGCTTTAAAAAATTTCAACTTCTTCAATTTTTTTAACAACTATTTGCGATGTTAAAGTTAATCATACCGACCATATTTTTCAATTTTTATAATCTGGATATTTTCTGCTTTTGCTTTGCTTGAGTAAAATTATTTGCTTTAAACCGAATTAGGAAAAAATAATTTCTTATAATGCAGACGACACAATTTTGTTCCGCTCCTCCAAAGAAATGATGATGATTATCTGTGACAGGGTGATACTTCACAAATGGAATAAAAAAATAGTAATACTTAAAAAAACTTTAAACTAAAAGAAAATTATAGTAGGCTGGCGGTACAGGTAATGAAAATATCTAACCAATTTTGTAGAACAAGCTAATCAGGAAAATTAATGTTATATGAACCCTTTACATAGCATTTTATTCGATCATCGAAATGTGAATATATCGTTTTCAGGAATTTAGGAATTTCAATTTTCTGAAAAAAAAAGTTAAACCGCCGCCTTACTATTTTATTTAACAAAATATAAATATAAACGATGCTTTACCAATCAAGTAGCAAATCTTTATTATTCCGTTCCGGATTGTCTTCAAGAGTCAATCTCAGTGCAGTTGTAAATGGGGCTTAAAAATGGCTACATGTCTCCATACGGTCGGTGCGAAGCATCCCTTGCCTTTATTAATTGTGCTTACATATTACCTATTTATAAATGTTTTTTTTTCAGAATATTTTTGCTTAATTGGTCAAGTTGGTCAATTGTCTCAAAATTTTTTCTAGCAGGTTGGCCAAATGTGGGTTTTCACATTTCAAATTTTGTTTGTTGGAATACTTATATTATTACGTAAATTTGTTGTCAAATTTTACCAGAGAATTGTTTCTATTGCTGGTTTTTGTTTTATATTTATAGTATGCTGAATATATTCCAGAATTTATTTATAAAATATATTTAATTTGTATTTTTAAATGCAATATTTAAAAAAATTTCTTTGTTTATCTGTCGCTACGTATTTAATAGAAGGAAAATTTTTACATCGAAGTGGAAGGTAATCATAGTTGTAATTAGTGTCCTCTAATTTCGATGGTGGTAATTTTTGAGCTATAGAGGGCTAGTTTCCGAGAGAACATAATATGATTTAATTGTACACAGATAAACTGATGAATCTTATTTCCACATATACTTATCAGAACAACTAATTTGTTTAAAAATTGAAAAATATGATAATGTGTTGGGCCTCAAATTTTCATTTAAGCGAAAATGCCTGAAATCTATTTCTTTATCCCGAAATCCGGTCACCTTATATAAAACTTTCAATTTCTACAGCAACAAAATTCCTACTTAATAGTTAGTTAGTGATGCTTTTTTATGTTATCGTGTTAGACAAATTTCAAAAAGCAGAAAAATCTTTCAAAAAAATCACGTCAAACGTGCTTAAAAATCAACCCGCTCTTTGCCTTTCGTTCGTTTCCCATTTATCTACCAGAGGCGGGAGTTTCTGTTTGTGTCTGGCACTGAAGCTTAGTTCATAAATCTCTCAAATTCGCTTTTGACTTCGATAAGCGGCGACAAGCGTCTCTCGCATTCAATAATGAACTAATGAACCAAACGCTCGGGAATCGAAACATTAAGCCGCACACAACTCATCAGTTGGGATGAGTTTTCGGAATAATGAATGAAAGATTTGTTTTCGGGTTATTCGGCTACAAATTTAATGTATGCGAAGAATCCGTTACACATCAAAACAACTAAATGTGCTTTCTATGTTCGTGTGCTTTGATGTCATTTAATGTCATTAATAATTATCATCTACGCTAAAGTGTTCGTAAATTATTTCGCTTACACTATTATATTGTAATCAAGTATTCTTTAAAAAATAAACTGGAAGAGAGGTTAAGCATTTATGGGAAAGGAGACAAAGGATGATTCTGAAAATTTCTTCATTTACACCTCAAATTTCATGTCAAAAGTGCAGGATGTATCTATCCATATCTCCGAGTGAAAGCGTTTGTTGTATGTTTGGAGTTGATTTCCTTATTGTAGACTGTGGGGATATTTTAAAAATAAATAAATGTACCACACCTGTTTTTCAAAAGGGTCACAGGGAACTTTTGGAAAACTACCGAATTATAGTTACAAGTAATTCAATTGTAAAAGTTGTGGAAAAATATGTATTAGACTGCAAAAGTGCTTTGACGATGACAAGATAATAACTAAAAAGCAACGTGGTTATCAAAAAAATCTCGTAACCTCTCCCTAGCGTTTGTTACACTAAACGCAGTCAGCTCAGGGTAAAGGTTGAGAACTCCGCAGAAAAACTACTGACGAAATCAATAGAAAAATTGAAATCGTTTTCTAAAGATCTCAGACCTAGCGGACAAAAAACCACCTTCAGTTAAATAACAAACGAACTATTGTAGTTGAATTCACAGATCAACGGGTTCAAATAGATCAAGATCATATAACTAAAAATTCGCATATTTCTAGGTACAGAATGTCACTGTCAATCAAATAGAGGGTCTCAAAAAAAACTTAATAGTTTACATTTTACTACGTTAACATTGAAGTATTCCATAAATACATCTTATCTCTTAAATGTGTACTACTCATATACTCATATGTAGAGGAAGAGCAGTAGAATCGAACCGAATTTTTGTCCAATAAAAAAGAATAAATCGATTAATAAACAACTTAAAACTCATGCGGAGATGTTTTTTAAACTAAAAAATGTTTAACTCTGACAGGTATTTGTTTACTTAGACTTTTTCCACGTGAAAATAAAGACAACTTTGCTACAAAAAATCAATTTCTCATTTCGAGAAAACATGCTATAATACATTTCCTGCTAAAAGTCATAAACCAGAAAAATTGGAAAGTATTTAAAATCAAAAAGATTAAAAAGTTTTTTATTTTTAATTTGTTTCATAGATTATTGAAAAGGGGATGCTTTTAAGGCAATAGCCATATAAAAAGAAAGTCGTATCATTTATAATGAATTGAAATTTTTGCAAATAAAAATGATATTGGCTATTCTGAAAATGATCCAAAATTGAAAAACCCCAGTATACTGCTCTCTTCTAACACATTTTAACATATTTTTAATTCCTAAGTTCCTAGATTTGGTTTATTTTTGAAACGTTTTTTGAGGTTAGGATATTATACATTATTTTTTACAAATATATTGTGTGTTCATCAAATAATAGTAGTCAAATGATTTCATTACGGATTTATAAAAAAATTATAAAACAACGTTAATATAAATGAGCAAGAGAAATAAAATACAAGTTCTGCGGACTATGAGGGTGTTTTACTGGAACATTCAGAAAATTTGTTTTATCTTACTAGGCGGGCCACAGTCATTATCGATTTTTAATCTTAATTAGCAACTTACTCAGCTTCTTCAATTGTTTCTGCCATGGCTAGGAAGACACAGTTGAGCAATATTGTGGCCATAACCAAATAATCGAAGTATTGATTGGTGCTTAGATATATACAAACTTTCCTAATGGAGTTGAACGGACTAAACAGGAAAAATGAACTGGTAGCGGTGAATCGATGGATATAGTTCTTCCGGAATCGCTTGGAAACCACGCAAAACGTCTGAAAAAGAAAAACACTAGTTACAATTACATTCGATTTATTTTTTGCGGGGTTGTTCTCGCCCAGATCATAAAAAATGCAAATCTAACGAGGGGGTCTATTAATAGAAAAGTTTTCGAACTGCCGCCATTCACAAATCCGGACATATCGTCCACAAACATCGGACGTTTCCCACGCTAAAATGCGAAATTGTTATTTTGGGAAACTGATCTCAACAGTTTTATTGGGCTGTCGCTCCAAGGTTTCGATCCATTTTAATGTCATAGACTCACGTGATAATTTTATTGCGGTGTATTTTTTTACTAAAATACGTATTTTCCAAAATAGTGAAACCGTAAATAAAATTTTCTTTATTTGAATTCACTTTTAGATAAAAAAAATAGGCAGATATCATAATAGTGTTGTCACGAAAATCTATGACATCAAAATACGATCCGTCATAACAATTAGCACGTCTCTTTTAACCTTAACGAATCTTTCAACCGTAATAGTATATTATGCAACAAGTGCGGTAAACGGCATTTGACTCACGAGTTTATTTAACATGAGCGGAGCGAGTGACAAACACATTCAGTGATATGACCGTCAGAATTGACAAACGTAACAATTCAAGGCGTGGGAAATATTTCCGAAAACATCGGATTGCTCTCAATTCCGTGCGGAAAAATCCCGGAAATGTCCGAAGTGGCTCGGATCCGAAGGAAACGAAACTGACGTGGGAAAGTGAGGCTTTCCGCACGCTATATAGGTGTGCAATTAGGCATTTTACAGACGAGCGCAGAAAAATTAAGTTTCAGTTCTTTAATTTCCTTTCTTATAAAAAATCGCCAGATGTCGCAATACATGTTACAATGTTAGCATATCTGGCAGTTTCATATAAGGAGTTGATATTAATTAAATAAAATTTTCTTACAGTTTAATCATTTTTAAGAAAATACATCTACCTAAATTGAGATCAAACTATAAAAATTATTTTTCAAAAAATTAAATTAAGAAATTACGTCTGCTTTTCCAATATTATGAGCTCAACTATACTCCAGCAAATTATCTTTTGAAAGCGCTCGATACGATTTTATCTGATAATGAGGTTGACATCTTTTAAAATACTTTTTAGACATCAAAATCTAAATTTTGAGCATGATCGGCTGTTTTAATGAACAAAAAAATATTATTCCCAAATCTTGAACAGCGATTTATGGTATAAGAATAGTATTATGTTCATTACTTTGCCACCTACCAAAATAATATATTATGTACCTATTCAGTATGATAAATGATACTTTAGTCACTAGTTTGTTTTGGGATGAGCGAAGCGGGTGCTTAATAAACTGGTGACTGAAAAAGTTGATCAAATGTGCTGCGTATTACACTTTTTCTATGACCACTGGTTTTTTCGATACATTTTTGCAAAACAACACGGATACATTCACTGAGTGACTTGTGACGTCAAAATTCAAGTTATGAGCACTATCTCCGAAACGTATGAGCTTGTCCGAAAAGCTTTAGAACAGGGAATATTCATTTAAGCAATAAGCAAATTTAAATATCATAAGAGCGACAGCGATAAAAAAACGTATTATAAACGTCCGGAGTTAAAAATCAATAAAACAGGAATAAGCACCTAATCATGTGTTACTGCATTATGTATTAATGTCACGCCCTTGAGTCTGACGGAATCGGTTTAGCGTCAAGCAACCGGATTGAATACCCTTAAATGTATCACTTCTAATAAGTTTTGGCTCTGAACTTCACTCAACAAAATTATTAAGAAGAATAAATACATAATAAAAACTTATATAATAAAAACAGTGTCTCCTTTTTACCGATTCATTCAGTTACATACGAATATAATAAAAACACATATAAATATTAGACAAATTATACGAAACTAAAATAAGTCTAAAAAATCAAAATTGTTATACAATATATCAAGAAAGTGAAGTACAACAAATAAGCCAACAACTAACAAAACTCAACAGAAATAAAAATAAATAGTAATTCTAAAAAGAGAGAACCATGGGCGACGTATGGTCTTATCTAGTAAGAATGAAAAGCAAAGTTTTCAAAAATTTCCTGGCAAATCCTATTTTATACAAAACAGAATATTCGAGATATAGGCATCACTTAAACCGACTTATACAGACAACAAAAAGTAATTATTATCAACAAAAAAAAGCAGAAAATGGAGGAAACGCTAAAGCATTCTGGGACTCAATCAATGCAATAAATAAGAAAAATATAACAAAAAATATATTACAACTAAAAATTGCACAGCACATAACAACTAAAAATGATTTTCAAATTGCAAACGTGGAGGAAAAAGTTGCAAAAAATACTAGAAATAAACAAAATTATAAATTTTATAAAGCAAAATCAAGAAAGCATTTCCAATTAGAAAACATTCAAACATTCCAAAAAATAATACAAACTATAAAATTGCTGAAATAAAAAAAACACCACAACGGATTGCCCACGAAATTAATAAACCACTATCTGACTTAATAAACAAAATTTTTGCAACAGGAAACTGTCCAGAAGAATTTAAAATCTCTATTGTAAAACCACTACTTAAAGAAGGCGACAAAAATCTCCCAGAAAACTATCGACCCATATCACTTATAAGTAACATAGCCAACATTTTTGAGATTGTCCTTAGAGAGAGATTAGTCCAATTCCTAGAGGAAAACGAAATATTAGATAAAAATCAATATGGATTCCGGAAAGGTAAGTCTACAGAAAACAAAATAGCCTCTTTAATTTCGCAAATTTACAGCTCACTGGAAACAATAAAAAAACCCTTCCAGTGTTTCTCCACCTTTCCAAGACCTTTGACAAAGCAGATCATAAATTTATATTGGAAATCTTGCAGGACTCTGGCATTAGCGGAATACCTTGGAAACTATTTAAGTTTTCTTCCGGAAAGAATACAGAAAATAAACAGTACTTAACAGTTTAAAAGAAAAACATCTCCTATGGTGTCCTCCAGGGGTCCGTTTTATGGCTCATATAATTTATTCTTTACATAAATTATTTGTACCATGTAAGCACGTCACGGACCATTCTGGGTTTTGTGAACGACCAAGTGGAAAATGACTTCAATGAACACTTCAATAAACACTGTCTGTATCGACGCGGAAAGTAAATCCTACCTTGCTTGTTTAATCGCAACTGACTAGGTGGCGTTCTCGTTCCTTTTTGTCGATTGTCTCTTCAAAAAAAGAAACGCGCACAGCGTCGCACAAAAATAGCCTGGCTGAACCAGGATAGAGGTTAGGCAAATTTATAATAATAAAAAAAAAACTAATTGATACTCACAATTTACCCGAAAAATATTCCTCTACCAAAATAAGATCGAACATACCGCCGACCTTAAAATCACCAAGTGTATTTTTAACAAAATAACATTCTAGTGTAATTAATGAAAGAAAAGAAAACAAAACGAAAAAGAGAAAAAAAACATTTTCTTCTAAATTTATTCTAAATAAGGTAAACGACATAGTTTGGATATGGGCCTTTGCAAAAAACCGTTTCTAGTTCTAACTGGCGCTACTCGGCAAGTACCGTCAGTTCCAGGATGAACCTGTGTTACTCGTAACTGTGTAACCATATCTCCTATGTTTATTAAGGGGTATTTTTTTGTCCATTTTGAACGCTGCTGAAGCGTGTTCAAATAATCGTGATGCCTCCGCTTCCACAATTCGCTATGCAATCGTTGCATCAATTCCCAACGTTGTAAAGTATTAATATTAGCGTTCGTATAATCCTTAAAAGGTAAAGAAGTAAGAGGCTCCAGAGTTAAAAAATGCCCTGGAGTCAAAGCTCTTATGTCATTAGGGTCACTACTCAAAGGGTGTAAAGGTCTTGAGTTTAAAACAGATTCGATGCAACATTGCGTTGTATACATTTCCTCGAAAGTTAATTTGTTTAGCCTTGACTGAACCAGGTGATACTTCATGCTATGCACACCAGCTTCCCATAACCCTCCGAAATTAGGTGCTGATGGTGGATTAAAGTACCATTTAATTTTTTCCGTCCAACGGCGTTTTTCATGATCTCCACCAGTTGTCTATTGGCACCAATAAAATTGGTACCACAATCGGAACGGATAATATTACAACGTCTTCTACGTGCGATAAAGCGCTTTAAAGCATCAACGAAAGCGTCAGTACACAAACTGGAAACCAGTTCTAAATGTATGGCCTTAACGGCAAAACAAACAAAAATACAAACATATGCCTTCTGGGCCTTTATCCCTCTGCCCTTTAAAGGCGTTATAGAAAAGGGACCTGCAAAGTTCACAACTACTTCCTGAAATGACTTGGCCTGTGATACACGTCCTGCCAGTAAATCGCACATGGTACAACAGGCTCGGGATCCACTCGAAGGCATCTTAAACAACGAGACAAAACGCCTACGAATTGCATTTTTCGCTGACAGTATCCAGAACTGTTGTAGACTCAAAAAATGCAATGTTTGGAAAGCCGGATGCAAATATTTCCTATGTAAATAAAATATTATCAGTTAAGTAAGACGATGCTTTTGAGGGAGTAACAAAGGAAATTTCCTGTCGTGCGACAAAGATTTGGAATTTATCAAGCGACCGCCGACCCTCAAGAAACCTTCATTATCCATAAAGGGATTCAATTTTCTTAAAGCCTTATCTACGCTTTTGTTTTTTTCTAGCTTATATATAGCATCAGAGAAAACCTCACGTTGTACTTGCCAAACAAGACACAAAAGTGCATTGTTTATATCTTCTTCGCAAAGAGCCGCTGCACAAGCGGCAACCGGATTTTGGCGTTTTCTACGAATATTATTGCAAAATTTTACACAATGTGCAATGATCCTTAAAATGTTTTCCAATGAAGAATATCTATTAAACATACCGTACGGGTCCGATATGGAAATTAACGTCGTCAAAGATTTGCTCTCCTCTTCTAAGCATTCAGAGGGAATTTCGGCCGATAAATCGCGAGGCCAATGATCAGAAGAGTAACGAA